GTGTGCAAGCGAGAGGTGAATATAAGAGACACCATTTATAATCCCATTCTTTATCTGCGCGAGTAGTGTATTATATGCTAGAATTATAACCTTATACTTTTTGAATGGAACAAATGTTGAATAAAAAGCAAAATAATCTATACAGATAATTTGTCAGTCAATTTGTTGCTAGCTATGGCCCTACATTAGCACCGATGACTTAAAGCGCATATGCATATAGCATATACAATGTACAAACTACAAAGAATATTTACTTTAATTATTTAATTAACTAAAACTACTAAAGCTATAGCTGTAATGAACATCAACAATTTGGTCCTTCAATGTAAAAGGTAAAGTAAGAAACAGCCATCTTATTTATTAAAACTTATCATAGCACGAAATAGTTTATAAATATAGATAGATATCAAACTGATTGTGTTTAGTTCTATCCTAGGTAAAAGTAAAAATATGTGAACAGTGTACTTAAAGAATAAGCAAAAATGTGTTAAGAGATTAAACTCGTAAATTATATACTATTATTTCAAATGTTATAAAATCTCCAATATAATTCTGTGACCCGATGCTAAAAGGGCCAAAGTACGTTTTTTAAACAGTACAGTACTGTACAAAGCTCATATTTTATTTTATTAAACAGCATGGAAGTACACATTACAATGGCCTTTTTTACATCGTATCTTTTGAAAGACTATCAATAAACGTACGCCCTTTTAGCACAAACAAATTGCATAATTTTCAATAATATGGCTTTAAAATCTCATTTTTTTTCAAAACGTACTTTGGCCCTTTTAGCGCTAGGTCAAAGAATTAATAGCAATGTACTTTAGTGAGCAAAAGTTTTTATCTTTATTATACTTCTCAACACTACACTATTCAAAATTTTACAAACCTCTGAAACAAAAAAAGCTGAAGATCTTTAAACGACTGAATCGATTTTGATAAGACATGTCTAAGAACCACTGCTAGAAAACCTGCTTTTAAAATTAAAAAAAAACGCACCCAAATCGGTTCACCACACATAGCGATCAAACTTATAACACCCCTCTTCTTCGTCGAGGGTTAAAAACAGAAAGACTATTAGCTAAAACTAAAAAGAAATATAATAGTTGCATGGAAAGAAAACACTTTACTTAATCTTATACAACAAAAAAAATGAAATACACTGAGTTTTTGTCCTTTTTCACAAATTATTTCACAAAAATATTTTAAAGAGGACTAAATTATTGTGATGATAGATTTAATAGTCATAATAGTCTATAGTTGGTAATAGCTGTTCAAAGAAACTTGGATTATGTCTGTTTTTACACATTAGTTCATTTGGTTCTCAAAGTTTTCGTGTTCGCTTTGATATTTAGAAAAGATTAACTTTAATTCAATATAGATTATATGTAATTTTTATTGAAAGTATTTTTTTACTTTACCACTAGTTCGGATAAACTTAAAGTTGAGCATATTGTTCTGAAAAAATATTAAATACAATTAACAAGTTTTGTTTTCTTATATTTACGCGAACATTACACATTTCAATAATATATATATATATATATATATTTATTGAACATAATTAATTAACGCACATAATTAACGCACTTTGAGAAAGTAGTTTGTTCAGAATCGTTTACTGAATCGATTACTATCATTTTTAATATAGGTAATTTTTTAAATCCCAATAATAATTAAAACTACGTAAATTACAGTCACACTAAATCTGTAAAGTCAAAACAAACTGAAATGGACCGTAACTTAAGGCAATAAGACTTTTAAGATTGCAGTTTTATTTGTATTATTACTAATTCTGTCATTCAATAAAAATAAAGAAAAATGAACTTTATTTCAAGCACTTTAAAGTCTTTGCGTTCGTGGATTTGTACTGTGACCACAACATTCTTTCGGAATTAGTATAACTAATTTGATAAATAATCAGTGCATAAAAATGTTTAACTAAAAAATCAGTGTATGTATTATGGTTATAACATAATATACTAATTGGGGTGTCTAAGGGTGTGCGTTAATTACGTTACATATTGTATATATATATATATATATATATATATATATATTTTCATTTTCAGATACAAAAAAGTTATAAAGTGTTTAAGGAATTAGTATTTTAAGTGTGCAATATATTTTACTATCAACCTATACGAATCACGGTCTGAAATAAAAAAAAAATATTTTTATTTTGGGGTATTTATAATAAAGAATTCTCATCTGGTTGGGCTGAATAAATATATAAAAGGAAATGATAAAAATGCTTAAATATATATTGAGTATACTCACATAAATAAATAAAAGCCCAATCACATGGAATCTCTCGGCAGGGCAGACCAAACAGCCGAGGGGCCGGCGCAATCTGTGAGGTTAGTGCGACCACGTTCAAACTCATTAAACCAGTTTTAAACTGTGGCACGAGATGGGACTTCACCATAAAAGGCCAATAGAAATTTCTTGTTGACTTAAATGACATCGAAATTCATAATACATCATTCTACGAAAATTTTCTTCTTTTTTAACATAATTTGACTAAATGCTACACTTACAGAATAGTCTCGTGGTAAAAGACTCTAGATGGGCGGTATCGAGGAGCTGTCTTCTGTATTTTTTACAATTGTAATTACATTTGCATTTGAAATTATTTTTATTGTTTATTTTATAGAAAAGAAACTACCTATTAGGTAGCATATAGAAAAAAATAGTCAAGTCAAGTGTCAAGATTATATTGAAATGGTATTTGTAATATCTTTATGTATTTGAAACTAATTACAGGACCAATAAATGTTTTTTTTTTTAATATAATGACATTAGTATTTTGCAATAATATAAGTATAGTCTTAAAAGCACAGAAAAGTTAATTTATACTAGGAGAGTTAGTATTTGCTAAGATTAAGGGTAGTAATGTCTTTCTGCCCTCTCAGAACCCTCTCAGAAATGAGAGGAGGCCTGTGCCCAGGAGTGGGACGTATATAGGCTGTAACTTTAACTTTAATGTCTTTCTAACTAAATATGGAGACTTGATTTGGGCAGGACAGAATCGTTATAGTGCATGAATGAGGCTGTAAGCACAGGTCTCTAATGATTCCCCTTGAAAGTACGTTGGGATTGCAATCTGACACGACCAGAGAGGTGAGGAGTAGGATCAATAACAAGGTTTGAAATACCGCAAATTTTCTGACTCCGAACTGCTACTGACAATTTCGTGATAGAAAAACCCATTAGCTGATATTGGTCTGACCCAAAATTAGAATCCAGAAACACATGATCACCAGTCACCCTTAGGCAATCTGGAGTAATAACAGAGCAGAGTCAAATTATATCCAATTTTATCTCCTAGAAATAAAGCGAAACATTTCAATGCTTGGATAGCGACAGGCATATGCAGGCTATAAAAAAGTCAACCAGATAAATTAAAATTCTAGGTCATATTCTCAGACCTAAAATCTATAAAATAATAGTCATATGTTATAAAAAAGATAGAACAATTAAATATTTTTATTAATTCAAGCAGATTATTGTCAAATAAGATAAATGTCAATAATATAATACAAGATAAACATATGTGTTCCAAGGCTAAATCATAATGAAAAATTGGGAAACAAAATTTTGTTACATAACAATTATATATCATATATAATTATCAAATATAAATCAATAATTTTATTTTATTTTGCACATTAGCAAATTTATTTTAATTTTAACTAAGCATTTTTGTTATTATTCAGAAAACATTTTAAATAAAACAAAAGAAATTTCAAAAAATCACAATAAACACATGCTTATATTATAATTGATAAAACTAATGACTTTCATCAGCTAACTATAACCGAATTAACTAAGTTAAAGACTAGTCTTGAAATTTGTAGTTGGCGGAATAATGATAAGGGTTGCCACTTTCTCAGGAACAAATGTAAGTAATTGAATTTTAGAAAATCAAGAAGTACACTGCGATATATAATAACCCTGATAATTGATAGAATTGGGTGTTACTTTGCGGAAATCCATTACAATAAAGATATTAATTAATTTGCAACCTTCCGCTAACTAAATGCAATGATGTGTCTTACTTGGATTTAAGAGCACCTCCCGCCCTCCCTCAAAACTCCCACTAAGAGTTTAGCGGTCAGCCGCCGTAGAGTCTACATCACCTGAGGATGCCTCGTGTAGAGGGGAAACACGTGTTGTATTGTCGTCGATGGTGTGTCTTTCCTGGAATATTGGTGTTGGGAGTAGTGGTGCTGGGATTAGTGGTGACGGGATTGGTGCACGCAATTGTGGGTGGGCGGGAGGTGCTCTTCAATCCAGGTAAGGCACATCATTGTATTTAGTCAGCGGAAGGTAGCAAATTAATTAATATCTTTATTATAATAACCCTGATTATTATAATGTGAAATGCTTTACTCTTTCGTTCAATATAATATTTGGGGTGTTATGGTTCCAATCTTGTCAACTATACTAAGACTGCGGTATTGATATACCACCATAAAAATCCATACATCCAGATGGATATATTATAACAGCTTTTGTTCTGCTAGTAATGTCGATTAAAGTCGAATATTAATAATAAAATTATAGCATCCAATAGATGGTGAAATAAATACCTAGTCTCATCATCAGTCGAAAATTAAACTGCGTTCGCTAATTTGTCGAAAAAGTCAGATGAAATCATTTAACAAAACCTACCGTAAAATTCTTATTGAATGAAAACTGTCTTTCTACTTAAATATTAAAATATCTACAAATCTATTCCTGTCCGAGTATGGAAAAATAATCATAAGCTTCTATGGAAATGATAATGTAACCAAGTGTTTGAAAACATACCTTATCCCCTTGAAAACATACCTTAAGTATGCCATCTTTTTTCCAAAAACAAATTTGTGTTTTGAATTACACTTCTCCACTATAACACTTTTATCATATTTTTAAACACTGCACAATTGTCTTTTATACTTCACCATTCTGTCAAGTGTCCTTGCTTGAGGCTTGTTTGGTTTGAAGAGGCACTACTAGCTTGCCGAGTTGTTGTACTGAGGTCGACCGGCCAGCTCCAGTAAATACCGGTCAGGATGCTCGATCCAGTCAGCTGCAGACAGCTTCACCTGGAAAGTATAATTAAGGTCTTACTGTATCCAAAGACATGAGTGGTTAAATAATACTTTTAGTGGTAAAAGAGTTCAAAACATAAGTCAAATAGCTGATTGAAGCTTTCACCTTTACAAAGTTATTTATGAGAACTCACCTGTCGCTGTCTCTCTGCTTCTCGCACCTGCCATTTCTTGACCTCCAGTTGATTTTCTCGTGACGTCTGATCACCGCAGCCCCATACCTGAAAGTTGTTTAATACTTCCATATAGCCATTGCCTCGTTGGTCTAGTGGTTGTAGTAGTGCGACTGCTGATCATGAGGTCCTGGGTTCGAATCCCGGGTTGGGCCAAAAAATTAATTATTGAGTTTTTCCATCAAGAAATTCTCAGTGGCTGCCCGGAGTCAGGAAGTTGGCGGTGTCTCACCCCCGTGCCTCGGAAAACACTTAAAGCCATTGGTCCTGCGCCTGATCTCTCTCTGGTTGTGTCGGTTTACCGTCCCATCGGATTATGAGAGTGAGGGAATAGAGAGTGCACCTGTGCTTGCGCATACACTTGGGCACTATAATCCTGTCCTGCACCGATGGGTAGTCTCCGTTGAGGCAGGCCGCCGTGGCCGAAATTCGATCTGAAGGACATTATTATTATTATTATTATAGTTTAATTTTAAACATCTGGGAAAAATTTACAATGTTGGAAGTAATGAAGCAACATATTGGTATTTGTATTATTAACATAAAATGTAAATCTAGACACGCTGGGGATAAAGAAGGGACTTCAGAAATAGTAAATTAAGCTAAAAACATCTCGAAACATTTTATATTGCGAAACTATAACATATAATATGGATTGCACTATAGGCAGTGTCCAAAAATATTCAGATGTCGCGCGGTTGAAATCGGCCAAGGGACTATCACTAACCTCAACAGCTCGTATGTAGTACGGTACTCCTTGGAAGGTGAAGGAGTCGAAGTCCTCGTTTACAGCGAGCAATGGTTTCCGCGGATCACTACCCGCTCGGAGACCATGAGGATAGCCACGGATAGAGGTGTTTAGATATAACATCTTTGGAGCGTGCTCTATTATCCCAAACCTGAAATATTTTATATATTTTAGCATCCCAAGAATATTGATGGATAGATACATAGCACCCCTATGGAAGTACCTTATGCAAGGAATGGTCACAACTTAGAATATCCTTGATCAGAATGAACTTGTATAAAGTATTACTATCGTTTCTCTGAATTCCAGTATTCACTTACCATCGGATGGACTGTGTGCTTTTTGTCACCTTTATTCTAAAAATAGACAGTGGTATCAACCCGTACGGGTTTCTAAGCTATAAGATATCTATATAAAAGTAAAGTTACAGCCTATATACGTCCCACTGCTAGGCACATACCTCCCCTCATTTCTGAGAGGGTTCAAGGGCAAGAAAGTGTCCACCACGCTGCCCCAATTTAGTTGAGTTTTAAAAAAAGTTGACGAACTTCACATGTCTTCGAAATATTTTTTTTATATTCCTCAGACATGCAGGTCCCCTCACGATGTTTTCCTTCACCGCCGAGCACGTGGTAAATCAGCATTTAAAATTGCAATTAACAATTTCATTGGTGCCGGCGGGGATCGAACCCGGATTACTCGCGTTCTGTACAGCGAGCGTTAATCATCTGAGCTACCACGGCTCTTCTTATCTATATATAGCTATAGTATATCACTGTGGCAGTATTTGAATCAAGCCTTTGTGCCACAGTGGATAAGTGATGGGCTGAAACGTGCATAATAATAATTGAATGTGACGTGTATTGACTGTGTTTGGTGATCTTTGGTCGCTTAGGGCTCGCCTTAAAGCTTGACAGTATTCATGTTCGATTCCCACCGACACCAACAAAGTGTTCGTTTAAGATAAAGATAGAAGACCTCATAGACAATACACAATAGAATGGCTGTCAACCTTATTTTGTACGAGATTCGGCGTCGCCTGGAGCACACATACAAGCAATTACGTCGTATTATCAGTTAATCACTACTACAAACCCGAATCTCTGTGTTGACAGACGGATTTTAATACATATTTATTTGTAAATAGCGTGCAATTTTGTATTTTCTAAATAATTTACACGCGATTGTAACGTCAAAACACATGTCGTGTTGACATTTATACGTGTGAATTGACGTTTTAGTGGCATTTTAGTGGCTACACGGGCTCCGCCCACTCCCCCGTTCTATTATGTATGTATTATAGTATTCTATGGAATACCTCATAGCCTGTAATTATATAGATCTTTTAAAAATTTCAAAAAAATAAAATGTGTGTACTACTTAGTTGCAGAAATATGTAAAAAAGTGATAGCTAGTACGCCTGGGGGGCGTTTACAAGCATTGAATGCGCGACGTCGATCGATGTATGTGCTTACGCACTACAGGTATAGAGGCCAAGCGCTCTTTTACTGGTTCGCCAGTTATTTTGTTGTGGACTACGGTCCAGTTTCCAACTTAACGTCCCGTTCGGGGGGAGCGCGTTAGTTGGTTGGCGTTGAGCAACGGCGGAGCCAACTACCTATAAACGCCTGCAGTTTGCTGTTCATAGACTGATAGTGAATATAATGTTACGAGCCGAAGTTGATAGTGAATATAATGCCATTTTTTTTTATAGGATTAGGGTGACAAACGGCGCACAGTCGACCTGATGGTAGTGGTTGCTGTGGCCCATAGACGTATCTACACCTATTCTCGATTACGAATCAAAATGCAGATGCGTTGTCACCCGTGAGGACTAAGATGTTGAATGCCTCGGTTCCAGTAAAAGGGTCTTCGGACTAGCGAAATACAGCTAGCTATCAAGCTACTATTTTTACGCTGGTATTTCTGTGAGAACAAGTGGTACTTCCCGGTGAGCCGACCCATTCGTGCTACAACTATACTACTAATGTAACTGCAGCATGGCTCTACCACGTAATAATATACGACAAAGTTGACACCGTTACCGTTACAGCAAGTCCACTGCTGGACAGATCTCCCCCCCTGGATTGCCTCATAGGGGGGATATTTGCCATAGTTGCCACGCTTGGCAAGCGTGTTGGCAACTGCAATTTTTTATTATAAGTCATTATTAGAAAGACGCTGCTGCCAATCTCCTTATTTGTATCCCTCTGTCGCCTCCAACGACACCCTCATGTTAGCAGATATTTAGTAAAATACGGTAAAGTTGAATATAGTGTATTTTTTTAAGAGATTTTTCGTACGTGTGTATACGCAGACTTAATATTTTTTTATGAAAGAATATTAACAATGCTATAAACATTACTAATATTCCCCTAACCACTTGTGGTAAGCTTAAATTGCTTGTGTTACGTGTGGTTCACGCCAGTAGTCGAATGGCGGATTCAACCCACGACTTTTTTGAGTTCGCGGTCCGCGCCCTACCATTAGGCTACTGTCGCTTTTGTGATATTGAAATAATAAATATTAAAAAAATAAATATTTAAAACATAGAATATGTGAGTATATAATTTACTTACGTAGGGTATAGTTGTATTAGTGCGCAATCAGGTCCACCCCAGTACTGGTGCGTCTCGCGCCACTCTTGAGGACTCGCTACTACGACGGTAACCTCGTCAGATGCCACCACCACCAGCGTTGGGCCTCTGATAACGGAATTGTTCAGTTCAATAGTTCATCTAATGGTTAATGAGACACATGTGTAACGGCAGCCCACTCCAAAGAAATAAGGCTACAAATACTTCACATCCTGGGGTAAATTAAACATTAGTAAACATTATTATAAAAGTATTCTATGTACAATTTCACGACATTATCGACATCTATGAAAAATGCGAATAGAATCTGTTCAAATGTTTATTTTCAATAATATTGACATTTTTGCTCACAAGGTGGGTATTTATAAAAAAGAATTACTTTCAATACTCAGAGGAGAATGAGTTTGTGTAATTGGTTATTACAATAATTATTATTTTTCTTTATTATTGTGTTATTTGAAAACACCATCACTGTATTAGATGAAAAAAAATTGTACGCTATTCTCAATCTCAACATTTGTTAATAGCAATTGGTGGTCGACGGTGTTGGTTGCACTATAATATTATATTTTTTGTAGTGAATGTATTTTAGATTAATAAATATTGTGTAAACTTTTTGTAGATCCTAATAAATTAAAAAAAAAAATAAAAAAAGTTTGAGTGTTATTCAAGGACAAACATTCTAAAAACTTTAACATAGTTAATATAATAAATAAATAAAATAAACATAATTTTTTTTAAATTTATTAAAAAAATATTTGAAAATTGATTTTTTTTTATAGGATAGGGTAACAAACGAGCACACTGTCCACCTGATGGTAAGTGGTTGCTGTGGCCCATAGACATCTACATCTATACGAATAATATATGCAAATCATATACTGCAGATGCGTTGTCACCCGTGAAGACTAAGATAGAATGCCTCATTTCCAGTAAAAATTGTCTCCGGTTCTCTACCCTCACCATACGAAACATAGCAGCATTAAACTATTATTTGACGCTGGTGTTCTGTGAGAGCGTTCCCCGGTCGCACTGCTGCAGACCCTTTTTACTGAAAACCAGGCATTCTCTTTTAGTCCTCAGGGTTGAATACGAATTCTGCAATTCTTAATCGAGGACAGATGTAAATGTCTGTGGATCACAGCATTCACCAAGTGGACTGTGTGCTTGTTTGTTATCCTATAAAAAAGATGCAGAAAGTCGACTGATGCAGATGAAACTGCGTTATTCTTTGTGGCATTCCCTGGGGGAGGCTTATGTCCAGGAGTGAGCTTGTGAAAGGCTGTAATGATGATGATGATGACGTTTGTTTACCTTACCTGTACGCGAGTGTGTGATGGAGGAATCGATTGGCACCGAGGCCGTGCTCTTTTGAGGCATATAGTGGCACCCAATGGGAAGGCACAGCACAAACCAAACGCGCAAGCCAGAGGGCCGCTGCCGATCCTCCACCTGACGACAATGCAATTACATCTTCGAATTATAACTATGTAAGGTGGGTGGACCATGGAGGGCCATGCTCCTTCGAAGTTCAGTTAATAAAATGTCGTAGTTATTGCCATGTGATGACAAATTCCTTTTACTTACACAAACACCCATCGAATTGAAAATCACAGACGCGGCGGCGAATCGCTCGCGCTACTATTTTAGCAGTACAATCCCTCGCTTCATTGATTTCGGGAATCGACGACGTTAAATTAAAGTGGATTTACCATGGAAGGCCGCTCTAACAAATAAACAGTTATTATTCGTTTATTTACTGGATAAATGAAACTAACAAATATTTAAGTAATACTTTGTTTTATCACGTAACATATAAACCACTTCTTTTTATTGTAGATTTAATCGCTATTTATTAAACTTTAGTGTTAAATGACTGATTTATTATAATGGCCTTCTAAGGAGCCTTGTTCCTAGAGCTTGTAAGAGTTCAATGAAACTTAAGTTCAATCAATATTGATTAAATCTGCAACTTAAAAAAGTGGTTTATATGTTACGTAATAAAACAAAGTATTACTTAAATATTTACTAGTTTCATTTATCCAGTAAATAAACCAAAAATAACTGTTTATTTGTTAGAGTGGCCTTCCATGGTACACCCGCTTTACTACACAAAAAAGAGATTCATAAGCCACTTTGTGTGTCCTACTAAAAATTAATAACTGGGGATGGACTACGCTCTCACAGAATACCAGTATAAAATCAGTTCAATGATGCTGTGTTTTGGATGATGAGTGTAGAGAGTCGTTAACTTTTTTTACTGCAAACGAGGCATTATATCTTAGTTCTTAGAGTTAGCAATGCATCTGCATTTTAATTCTTAATCAAGAATAAATGAAGACATTTATGGGCCACAGCATCACTTATACATAGTAGAGCCTGCTGCAGCTATATTATGTAGCTCGAATGAGTCGGCTCGACTGGGGAAGGACCACGCTTTCACAGAACACCAGCGTGAAATAGCAGCTCAGTGTTGCTGTTTCGTATTGTGAGTATAGAGTGCCGGAGACCTTTTTTACTGGAAGACTTAGATGGAATGCTTCGTCATTCCATCTAAGTCCTCAGGGGTGGCAACGCATCAGCATCCTGAGTGGATTGACGTAAATGTCGATGGGTCACAGTATTTACTTACCATCCCATTTTATATTAAAAAAACTTGACACTGGTAAAAGCAAAATCGTACGAGTCCACGACCAAAGAAAAAAAAACTACCCGCGTGTGGTACTGGCGGCGGGCGCGCCGGTCGCGAGTACAGCTGGGGGGCGGTGCCGGCGAGCAGCCAGGCCGCCGACACGGGCAGCAGCGCGCCGCCCGCCCCCGCACGCTCGCCTCCGCCCTCCGCAGCGCCCGCGCCCGCGCCGCCCCACGCGCCGCGCTCCAGCACCGGCGTCGACAGCTCCAGCCCCGCACCCGACCCGTTCGACTCCACTCGCGCCTCGATGTCGCGGTGCCGTGTCGCCAGCATGTGCACGCAATACCTGTTCGCCGCGGTCATCATTCAAAATAGTGTAAGAGGCGCTATACAGTTAGTGTAAACACCGTTATCCTTGAAACGAGTGGTTTGATTTCACTTATAGAACGTAAATTCAATGACAAATAACATTTTTTTGAGTAAAATCTCAATTTTTCCTTAATTCCTCAATTTTTGCCTGTCCTAAAGTCAGGATGAAAGTATGAAGGAAAAGTTACATCACAGGTTATGTGTACCTATTGTGTTTTATTGGAATGTTGTGTAGGTAGCTAGGGCGGGCGGTGATCTTTACAGTGATTACGTCACTCGGGCGCATAGGGTATCCATGAATTTACGGACGGTGTCGGACAGAAACTTTTTAAATTTTATGAAAGAAAATAGCGTTTTTTTTTAAAATTCGTATAAATATTTTTATATTAAAACCTATGGTTTTAGTGACAACGGTGTTTACACTTACACCTTGTATATCGTCCCGTAGGTGTCGTAAAAGGCGACAGAGTGAAACTAAAACACGAGATTACCAGCAGCATCTTCCTGATAACTTAAAATAACTAAAAACTGTCATTGGCAACCAGGCTGTCAAGCTTGGCAACTATGGAAAAATCCCCTCTATAAGGCAAGGAGGGCGGGGGGAGGTCTATGTTCTGCAGTAGACTTTTATAGGGTGTAATGGATTTTTTTAATCATAAAATACGAAATTACGTATCAACTATCAGCGTTAGTTGATACGTGCTTTCTTTTTATAGAAGAGGGGGCAAACGAGCATGCGGCTCACCTGATGGTGACTACCGCCGACTAAAGCTAGTCCTTCGGCCATCCTAAAGCCGCGACATACATCCTACCCAGGTAACTATAGGCTTATTATTTCGTCTGGTTATCTGTTAAAATTGCAAAAATATTCAATTAAAAGCCCAAAATCTGTAATACAAAAATTTTGGGACGCTACAAAAAGGATTTAGATCATATCAATTAGTAAAAGCATGTAGAACGAAGAGTGAATATTTGAAACAGAGTCAAGTGGGCTCTTTATATCTATTGTGGAAAATCAATCGTATCAAAAAAGACATGTTCAGAAATCCGCAGCGTTCTGCTAACACCTACCTTAATGTTTGATAATGTCTAAAGAAATCCGCAGTCTTTGCCTACCCCCTGGTGGCAAGCGTCGACTTATGTATGTAACATATAAACACTCACGCCTGTCACCCAGAGGGGTAGGCAGACACTACAGACTTCCATTTAGCACGATCCTGACATACCTCTCTCGCCTCTTCCACATCCATATACCTACGCATACATGCTCGTCGGTTAAGAGTACTCTTAATTAGGCCCATTTTTAATATATCGCCAATTTGGTCGACAAACTTTCGCCTAGGACGTCCCTTTCCGACTCCTGCATTCACTTCTGCAACATATATTTGCTTTGTCAGTCTTTCCTCATTCATTATTTCTACATGACTAAACCACCGAAGCATTCCTTTCTTAATCCTGGTCACCGCATCATTTTGCAAACCACACTCTTCTTTTATCACACAGTTTCTCACCCTGTCACTCAGATTGAGCCCTAACCCTCCATGTATGCATGTATGGATTGTAATATGTATATATTTACACATACAGTATATATTACTAAAGGTAGAAAATCATATGATGTATTTAATTTGTGCTGTATTTATCAAATTTTGGAAAGCATTTGAAAGACTAGTCTTGACCTATTACCTCTCTCTTCTACCAGCACAAAGACAGTAAACAACTCACCTATGTACTGGGAATATAAGCCTGTGACAATGCTCCTCCAGCCAACGGACTACAAAACCGGCACTGTGTGAATCTTTCTTGTTGAAACATCCATTGATTACCGCTGACAAAGTTTTGTTTATCTGTCAACAAGCATTTTAAGGCTTCAGTCAACGACGGCGCCGGTTCCTTGCTAACTACAAAGTGAAAACCTACTCACCATGAGACAAGTCTGAGGACCTTCAGGGTAGTGGTCCATGGAGAGTTTGTAGCTAATGTAGAGGAGGTTTCTTAAGCCATCTGGCGTTACCACACTTTCGTCTGTTTCTGAACTGAACATCCTGTAAACAAAAACTATGATTGCCTTAAACCCTATTCAACCCGCTTCTAGCCCTTTCGAAACCTCTTTCTAGTATCCGACATTAAGACGCAAGGCGGGTCTCCTCCCAAATCTAAGGGGGTTTTTGGAGTAGAAAAGCGGCCGCTGCGATATTCCAACGCACGTTGGCGAACTTCACACGTTCTAAAAATGTAGTGCCAATATAGATCTAAATTTGAAACTTTGATCATAAATTATTTCTTCTAAAAAATGAAAAACCCACCCCCCCCCATTCTACCTTGGGGCTAAGGAACGCGCCTTTTTGAGCTGAGACGACTCATCGTCCTTGTAATGTAAAGCAAAGGATTTGAATTTTTTAGCTTGTCTCGAACAAATTCGAACACAAATCTTATTTAGTTTCAAAAGAAGAGCTGGAGGTATTGAACCTCTAGCTTTTACAAAACAAGTGATTCACCATCCAAGAAAGTTAGTTAAGAATAGCAGTTTTGTGATTATATATAGTAAACGTCCCGCAACATTGAGCCTCAATAAAAATAAAATATTTAAGCTAATAATATGTTATGTGATGTATGTTACTAGTCTAAAGCCACGAGAAAAACGAGGAGTTGTTAGACTATTGCCAATTTCCCTTAGTTGACATTTACGCCAAAGGGTCTTTTACGCCATCATCACGCGGTAAGTTTATAACTTTATGTGTCTTTAGAATAAAAATATTCATAGATTTTATTATTATCTAGAAAAATGCCGTGAAGTGGAGGCATGAGCGAATCTACTACCCCATATCATCCCGTGGATGTCGTAGAGAGAAACTGAAACAGGAGATGGCTTAGAGTATACACAAGCATGCTATAGAGCGCGCGTTAACGAGTATGAACAGTAAGCACGGGTATGAACAGTCTCGAAACGCGCGACGTTATTAGTCACAGGTTGATCATCATCACCATCATTACAGCCCTTCACAAGTCAATCCTGCATCCATCGACTTTCTACATGGGCTACCAGGTCATCACTCCATATAGTGGGGGGTCGCCCTACACTACGCCTACCGGTACGACGCTGCCACACGAGAACCTTTTTTCCTCATCGGTTGTCGGTTCTTCGAGCTATATGGCCGGCCCATTGCCACTTCAGATTACTAATCCGTTGGGCTATGTCGGTGACTCTGGTTCTACTGCGTATATCCTCATTTCTAAATTTATCACGTAGAGAAACCCCGAGCATAGCCCTCTCCATAGCTCGCTGAGCGACCTTGAGCGTCCTCATACGGCCAGCAGTGAAGGACCACGTCTCAGATCCATAAGTCATCACTGGCAACATGCGCTGGTTGTACAATCTAGTTTTCAGGTTTTGAGGTATACCGGACGAGAAGATGTGTCGTAATTTTCCGAACGCTGCCCAGCCGAGTTGAATCCGACGTTTGATCTCTCGGTCGAAGTTTGAGTTACCTAGTCAGACTATTTGTCCCCGCTAAACATACGTCAATAACTAGTCACGCAAACAAACTAAGAAAAACGATGATATTTTCTTCTCATCGATATGTAATAATTCGATAAAAGAACACTGATTTTAACAAAATTACTTAGGGTGGCAAAGGGTGTAGAAGGAGGCGCGTGGCCGGTGCGATACAGCACATGACCCGCGCCTCGCGCTTCGGGTTTTCCCCGAATTAGAGCTAGTGCTGTGCCACGTTGTAGACGAATATTTTTAATAACATGATTTCTTTCGTTCTTTCGTAATCTTATACTATAATAATTATATTATAATTATATACTATAATAATTGTATATAATATAACAATTGTATAATATGTTATATTATATATAATTACGTTATATTATATATTGTTACGTAAGTCGTGAAGGTCTCATAATAATTATATATAATTAAATATAAAAACTAAATATTATAATTATTATAGTATTAGAAGTCAAGATCGTTTGTATTCCTAACCCATATGGATCAATGTCTAAAATAAAACTTTTGAATAGCTTTTTATAGGTACATAATAAAGGTAAATACGGTTAAAATACTTTCTAATTTCAGAATGTGGCGAAAAGCCGTGAATTGGGAAATGAATGGATGGTAGCAATAAAAAAGCCCAACATCAGGAGTTACGTTTGTTTCATTCATTTTCGTGCTTCATACATTTTTGAAAGCAACGGTGGACGGACTGCGCAAGCTGGTTGGAGGTGCAATACCAGAGCTTGAATTTAAAATATGATTACACTTATATGTATAAAAGCGATTAAAAAACTTCGGGAGTCATTTATGTAGGTACCTAAGTAATTACGTGTTCACGATTTTTTCAAAACCAATAGATGTCATTCAAAAATATATTGATATTAGAATGTAATATCTTGTACGTAAAACTGCGATCGAGCAAACAAAATGAGAACTAGGTAATAAAAGTTAAAAGTAAAGTTACAGCCTATATACGTCCCACTGCTGGGCTCAGGCCTCCCCTCATTTCTGAGAGGGTTTAGGGCAAGGAAGTGTCCGCCGCGCTGCCCAAATGCGTGTTGACGAACTTCACATGTCTTCGAAACATTTTTTTTCTTATTCCTCAGACATGCAGGTTTCCTCACGATGTTTTCCTTCACCGCCGAGCGCGTGGTAAATCAGCACTTAAAATTGCAATTAACAATTTCATTGGTGCCGGCGGGGATCGCACCCGGGTTACTCGCGTTCTGTTATATTTACAGCGAGCGTTAACCACTGAGCTACCACGGCTCTCTAGGTAATAAGTTAACCCATTTTAAGGGATAGTAAATTAATTAGATTTTTGTGTTTGATTGATAAACATCGTTTAATAAATTCGTACATGTGTTTTATTTATCTACTAAAACCTACTTTATAAATTACCCACCTAATTACTATTTATTAAATACTTACCTAATTTAAACTAATAATTTCAAGCAAAATAACGCATAATCGTCAATCTGGCATCATGGCGTCATGGCGCATAACTATTCGGCCGGTTCATCTATGTTTCAGTATCTAAAGAACACCTGATGACACTTGGCATAATGGGCAATGAGCGATACGCGCGCTCTATTCCTTGCTTATTCATACTTTCAGGGAGATGGGCAGTAGCACCTTTACAATTCAAAATTATAAAAAAAGCAATAAACCACTCACAAAGTGGCAACCATAGCAAATGTCCCCTTATGAGGCAATCTATGGGGGAGGCCTATGTTCAGCAGTGGACTTTTTTATTTTATTTTTATTTTATTGAATAAGTTACACAAACAGACAGTAGTTATATAAAGGTCTAAAATTAAAAGTATATTTGTGTTGATCTAAACTACAATCCAAAAAAAGTGTACACGGCATAATAATATAACTGCAGTATATTCTTAGTCTTAGCAAAAATAAAACAGATAAAAAAATACATTAAATGTTAAGAGAAACATGTAAATTTTTTTTTAAATCTAACCAGGCTACTATCGAATATATCTAGATGTACGTTACTACGCTTAATCTCGTCGTAATCACGGCACATTTTAACAACAGGGTTCAAAAAGGAAGTGTTATTCTTGTGTACGTCTAACCTGAAAATTCTTTGAGCACGTTGTCCTATACCGGAATTGAACTTAATTAGCCTTAGTAACTCTGGGCACTCTATACGAGAATGCACAATCTTGTGCAATTAAAATTGCTCGGCAAATTGTCTCCTCAACGATAATCGCTGGACATTAAAAACTTTAGTCGAGAGTCGTATGATGGTAGTCGACACAAGTGACCATATCTACCGCAAACACTGCGAAGGAAACAACTCTGCACCCTCTCGATACTTTTTGATAGACTTAATGAATGATGAATGAAAAGACAAAGAATAGAGAATGGTGAAAGTACTTCCCTAGGCGTCAACAATACCTGACATATGTCTCGATAATGACGGTGTCATCGAGCATCGCCATGATGCGCTCACACTGTTGTCGGAAAGTCGCCAGCGGGATATGCTTGTTCTTGCACTTGCCGACCTTGAGCAAGTATGTGAAGAAGTGATGCGAAAGCTCCGGGTACATCGGGAACAAGTATTTCTGTGAAACAGCAACATTTGAGGTGCATTGCTAGTTGCAAATAAATACTCAATGTTACCAGTAAAAAGGATTCGTGTAGCATTATCGCCTACAAAACATCAGTGACTGCATTTTGGCCCTGTTGCGATATGGACTTGAAATAAAATATCGGAGAAAAGTACTCAATAGGTCAGAATAACCTTTTAAAAATCTCTGTCCTCAGTCGCAGCTTATTAAGCTAAGCCTACATAATTCCCACAGCTGGGTACAAGTGCTTTTTTATTTTACAGAAGCAGCATCATACACTAGGGCACGTCGTACAACTGCTCCAGAAATCCCTACAGGAGCTCTACTTTAAAAAAAAACGTATATTATTATCATAAAATGCTTTTGAATACAGAATCATTTGTGTTTAGAAAAAAAAATCAACCGAATAGCGAAACGAAATCGCGTGAACGTTAATCACACCAGTTAGTCACTACTTTCCAGAGATTAAATTTTTTTTAGATAATTGATTAAAAGAAAAAATAGCAATGTGTTTCACGCGTAGAATCTGCTATAATCGGCACGGTATTAATTACATTGATAAGTTAATTTAATGGAATTTTACAGTTAAGAGTTTTAATTTTTTTGGTGTTGTTTATTGGGGACTGTGATCTAGTTTACCATATATTTTTTTATAGAATTAGTGTGACAAACGAACTCACAGACCACCTGATGGAAAGTGGATGCTGTGGCCCAAAGATTTATCCTCGATTAAGAATCAAAACGCAGGTGCACTCTCATCCCTGACTACTAAGATGGAATGCCTCGTTTCCAGTAAAAAAGGGTCTCCGAATCTCTACACTCACCAAACACATCACTATTATACGCTGGTATTCTGTGAGAGCGTGCTCCTTCCCCGGTCGAGCCGACCCATTCGTGCTACAACCATAATATAACCGCAGTGTGGCTGTACCGAGTATTTAAATTCATTATTCCGTAATAGTGGAGCTAAATGGACCTCTGTCACAGTGGGAATCTACTAGGTATAATGTTGCGCTTAGCAGGCGGTCCGGTAATCGTAGTATCACATGTTTCTCACCCATAAAATACTATAATACATACATAATAGAACGGGGGAGTGGGCGGAGCCCGCGTAGCCACTAAAATGTCACTAACACGTCAATTCACACGTATAAATGTCAACACGAGATGTGTTTTGACGTTACAATCGTTTCCAAATTTCGCATGCAAATTATTTAGAAAATGCCAAATTGCACCCTATTTACAAAAAAAAATATGTATTAAAATTTAATGATAATCTTGAACATTAATGTGTAAATGTGTAAAAACAAACAAAAGTCTAAAATGTGTAAATTTACTCAGTCTGTCAACACAGCGAATCGGGTTTGGCGACGCCAATTCTCGTATAAAATAAAGTTGACAGCCATTCTATTGTGTATTCTATGTACTTATTCTATGTTCTCACCTTTGACGCTACTCGACGTTGCCGGGATAAGTTTTTAATATCTGAAATGTTACACTTATAAAACCAAAGAAGCTTTTTGGTCAAAGGTGCGTATTTCAAACTAGAAAGGCGTGGGTTCATGTCAGACTTATATTATATTATGAAATTTTGAAGCATACGCGAGTACACTAATATTATAAGAACTCGTGCTTACGGTGAAACAATTTTCCGCGACGCCGTTGACTCCATCTTCCTTCTGTGAGCGTTGAACCAGCAACTGCACAAAAAGAAATTCCTTTTAAATCTTTTAATTTTTATTTGTTCTAATTCTCATTTATGTCGCGTGCGAGATGGTTGAAAAATTGCGATTAGAAAATGAAATTGATGTATTTTACACACAAACTGCAATATGTACACTGTGGTATTTTGTCAGAAATGACCTGTCAACCACCAAGCAGTCGTCGACCCCACTGCTCAGTTCTGGTCTAAAGAGTAAATGAGTCGGTATTGTTACAACTTATGAGGTTTTCTTAAATTTACGCGAACACTACACATTGAATAAAACTAATATTTACGGATTTTATATAATAAGCTAGATTGTGAATGTGGTCTCTCTTACCTAGGTCAAATAAAAAGGTGTATAAAAACCCGCGTGAAGGAACATAGCTGACGTGAAGCACCGACGCTCCGGGAAGTCTGCAATCGGCGAACATGTCCAAGATCGTCCCCACCATTACATCAGATTTGATAAACTACAAATCCTCGCAAAAGAACACCGATTCCTACCAAGGATGATACGCGAGGCTATTGAAATTAAAAAACATCCAAATTTCAATAGAGAAGATGAGAAGAGGTGCTGCCATCTGCTTGGGACCCTAAAACGAAATTAAACCCAAACCCAAGCATACCACTGCAAGATTTCATGATACTATAAGCTCGTTTTGCGTAAATCGGACCAAAAATTAATATTCAAAAACTGAAGGTAGCCGGACTATGACATTGGGACGTTAAACATCTCAGCCCCCCCCCCCGCCCCGTGACCATGGGTGCTGTAAAGCACCCGAAACGTCGGGATAATAAAAATAGGTTAAAGTGGTAATTAAACGCGATAAAATCCGTAAATATTAGTTTTATTCAAAGTTATGAGGTGTTTTATCTTAGTCTTCAGTGGTGACAGCGAATCTGTGATTTTTTTTGAAGTGGGTTGCTTCTGTCTGCAGTAGTCGGTGACATTCAGGTCAAAGTTTAAGATTTAAGTAACGCGATTTGTTACAAAGATCTGCCGCCGACCTCCTATATTAAAAGTGGTCTATCTGATTGCTCATTAGATCTATTCAGGCTTTCCTCTCAATAATTTCGATTATAGCAATTTCAGAGCTGTGGTGGCTCGGATGGTTAGCGCTCGTTCTAAATTTCACAGTACGCGGGCAAATCGGGTTTGATGCCCGCCCGTGCGATTTACCACGTGCTCGGCGGTGAAGGAGAACATCGTGAAGAAACATGCACGTCAGAGAAATAAGAAAAAAATATTTCGAAGACAATGTGCTGTTCGTCAACACGCATTGGGGCAGCGCGGCGGACACTTCCTTGCCATAAAATCCTCTCAGAAATGAGGGGACGTCTGAGCCCAGTGGAACGTATATAGGCTGAACTTTATCTTCAACAAAAATTATATATAAAAAAAACATACTACAACAAACTACACATTGAAATAATACTAGTTTTTACGGAATTTATCGCGTATATTTAATTTTATATTAAATTAAATATACGATACTTTTTACTGGACTGCACCCGAATGTATGTCTTTTTCTTTGGCATGCTTTGTAGCCTAAACGGCTTGTTGGATTTTAACATATGGAATATAACTCACAGAATACCAGCGAGTGAAGTAGTAGCTTAGACGCTGTGTTTCGTATGTTGAGTGTGGAGAACCGGAGACCTTTTTTACTGGAAACGAGGCATTCCATTTTAGTCCTCACGGGTGACAACGCATCTGCATTTTGATTTGTGATCGAGGATAGATGTAGATGTCTATGGGCCGCAGCAACCACTTACCATCAGGTGGACTGAGTGCTCGTTTGTCACCCTTATCCTATATTAAAAAAAATGTGATGTCGTTAGATTTGTCTTATGGAAATGGCATAGGATATAAAATGTTTCTCTTTTCAGAAAACTATTTTACCCAGTCGTGTTTTTAATGACTGTTTTAACCTTGAATATTGTACAATTGGCATCTACAGTTGCAGTTGTCTCCTTTATTTTTATTAATGATATATATTTTTATAAGTATCAAGTAAGAAGTAAGTCCATAACACTTGGTCGCATTTAAACGGGGCCTACTGAATAAACCGCATTAATAAAAAAGATGACTAGAGTTAACTTTATATGGGATAAGGTGAAACGTTACTAAGACTAATTCGCCACAAATGGCAGCGGGCAGTAGTTGATGGTCAAACAGTTACGTGGTAACCGTCAATGGCGTGTTTCATTACACCAAATAATATCGTAAATTTTGTTAAGCAATCTTACCGCAATCATTATTAGATAGTTATATACATAGACCTAATAGCGTTTAATTTTAAGTTATTTTAATTTACGCGCTTCGAGCGCTTTGTAGCAACTGTGGTCATAGGAGTTAAGCAATTTTACCAAAATTATTTCTAGATGGATATGTACATAGATATAATAGCGTTTATTTTAAGTTATTTTTAATTCACGCGCTTCGAGCACTTTGTAGCACCTGTGGTCATAGGTACTTAGTACTATTATTTATTCTGTGTCATAGGACGCTTAATTATTTAACGTTCTGGCGTCCTAATTTAACTCACAACTTTTAATTATTTACTTTTTATCCGATCTATCAGTATCTCAAAGTCTTGCAGTGGTATGCTTGGGTTTGAACTTCATTTTTCTTACAAGATTCCAAGCAGATGTCAGCTCATCAACATCCTAATTTCAATAGAGAAGATTGTTTACTTCTCTATTGAAAATAGGTTGCTTTATTTTTAATTTCAATAGCAATAGCATTACGAATCATCCTCGGTATTATCGGGTCTTTTGTGAGAATTTGTGTTTTATTAAATCTCATGTAATGATGCTGCGACCCTGAACATTTTCACATTCTGTCGACTTTCCAGCACGTCGTTGCATCTAAGCATCTAACACTACATTTACAATCCAGCTTATCCTCATAGAAGGAAACATCGAGAAATAAATATAAGAAAAATTGAATGCGATAAAATCCGAAAAGTTAGTTTCATGTTATTTTTTACATTCACGATAAGGTATTTTATCACTCTCCTAACTATTTCTGCTCCCAAACAGGTGTTCCAGCATTGCTGTTTAGTTTTGAAGAGTAAGAGAGTCAGTGGAACTAAATTAGCTCGATTGACACTCGTATTAGGTAAAAGTTACAGCCTACCAGGTCCCACTTCAGGGCACAGACCTCCTCTTATTTCTGAGTAGATTTTAGGGCTACGAAAAGTCCGCTGCGCTGCCCCAATGCACGTTGATGGATTTCACACATCTAAGACATGCAGGTTTCCTCACGATGTTTCCTTCACCGTTCTCGAGGTAAATCGGCACTTAAAATTGTAATTAACAATTTCATTGATGCCGGCGGGATTCGAACCGCAGTTGCTCGCGTACTGTGACTATTATTATCCTATAATTTCAATGCAAGTGGAAACGGACGCACACTGTTATGTTATTATTTTTATCAGGTCATTAGACGATTTCATTTAATAAGCATTTACTGAACGTTCCATCGATAAAGATTTAACGAGATAGTGTCAAAAACATTCTGTGACGTAGTAACCTTTTTATTTTGGAAATTTGCATTAAAAATATTATATACTTAAAGCTTGATAACGCTGTGTGGAATCTAAGATCCCATCTAATCAAAGTGATTTAAGATTTAAATAAAGGAAATACTATTTCGTATTTATAGTACAGTCAACATCACCATCATTACAGCCAAAAGTCCACTGCTGAACAAACTCCCAAGGAAAGACACATAGAGTTGCCACCCGTACTATAATATCTAACTATAACTATAGTATCGTACTATATTTCAGTCAATTGTACTCTATATTATAAAACAATAATTTAGTACGAAAATACTATATTTTATCCCTAATTCAACTGTCGCTTTGTTGTATTAACTGTGATTAGAAGTCCGTTTTACGGAAATCATTTTTTCCATCGTGAATGTAAAATTGAAAGAAAAAGAGCATGTATTAATTTAGTTAAAAATTATTTATTTATTTATTTTAATTTGAATATAAACTACTCAAAACAAAATAGGGCCCACCATGTTTTATAAATGCATTTTACAGATTCTTTTTCTTTTTTCCAGTTTTTATGATTAGGAATGAATAAATTAAGGTTCTTGGAAGTGTGTGAACATTAACAAGAGTAAGTTTTGCCAATTTTATGGAATTTAGTCAAAATTTACAGTTTTTAGGAAAGTTTACAGAAATTATTGATTTAAGTAAAGTTTGATTTTGATTTTTATTATCGACAAAATCAATGAGTTTGATGGTGCTTAATAGAGAGTAGGTCCTCCTCTGTTCCGTATGCACTCTCTGAATCTATCTGGGACACTTTCAATCAAGTGGGTGATGTTTTTCTCGGGTATTCGCTCCCAACACAATTTTAGGGCGTTTTTGAGCTCTTGTCGATTAGTCACATTACTGAAATTCGATTTGAGGCTTCTTTTCAATTGATCCCATAAATGTTCAATGGGGTTAAGATCGGGAATATTGGCCGGCCACGGTAAAACCGTAATATTGGCTTCAGAGGGAGCTCTCTGGGTTGTTCGCGCTGTATGTGGGCGAGAATTGTCTTGCATAAAGACGAAGTTTTCACCCACTCTTTGTGAAAATGGGATGACATGGGGCCGAATTATTCGATCGACATACCGGGAGGCAGTTATGGAGCCTTCTTCCAGAATTACCAGCTCAGTTTTACCGAGCAAGCTTATTCCAGCCCACACCATAACATTTGGACCTCCAAAACGTTCCGTTTCATATATGCAAGGTGCTGAAAAACGTTCTCCTTCTCTTCTCCACACGCGCACTCGATGATCATCGCTGAAAAACTTCATTTTACTTTCGTCCGTAAAGAGTACATTTCGCCAGTTGTCCATTGTCCACTCCGCATGCTCGCGAGCAAACCTCAAACGTGTTGCACGATGCGCTCTTGTCAATTTTAGACGAATACCACGAGATCTGGAACGTTGTCCGTCTTCATGGAGCCGATTTCGAATTGTTT